CCCTCCGCAACGAGGACCGGCACCTCACGGCATCCCGCCTCCCCAGACTGTCCCGAGGTGAGGTCCCTGCTCGCATGTATACGGCCTCGCCGTCCAAGGGGCTCCGTGTTTCATTCAGAAACCGCAGTCTTGCTGTCTGGGGACCCTTCCCCGGGCCAGGGCTGTTGAAAGATGTCACAGGATCTCACCAGAAGCCTGGTCCCTGTCGCCGTCACACACACACACACACCCGCATGGGCGGGCCATTCCCTAGGCCTGAGCATGGAGTCTGGCAGGGAGCCCGCTCACCCTGTCATAGGGAACTCCCGAGTCTGTGTACTGAGCTCCTGTGAAAGGCCCTGGAGCAGGAGTAGACTGTGTGAGTCCCTTTCACTCAAGCGGCCTGCTCCGCTTTTTTGGGCCATGTTAGTTTGGAATGTGACCCCGAAAATTCATGCTTTGAAACTTAATCCCCAGAGTCGTATGTTAATGGTACTCAGAGGCGGGAGCTCGGCAGGCCCTAGGATTAGGTGAGCTCAGGAGGGCATGTGTGGCTTTATGAGAGGAGACCTGGGCTGTGCTGACAGGTAATGAGGCGCTGAGGTCCTGACCAGATTCCCAGCAGATCAGCACTGCATCCTTGGACTTCCCAGCCCCCAGCCTGACTGAGCCCAGGAGCGCCCTAACTCTGAGCTCTATCCTCATCTCCAGACATTTTGATTTAATTTTGAGGCAGGGTCTGGCTAAGTTAGTTGCCCAGGCTGGGCTTGAACTTGTGATCTTCCTCCCTCAGCTTCTGAATAGCTGAGACCACAGACACCTGTGCCACACCCAGAAAACGTCCCTCCTTCATAAATTAGTTGGTCTCAGGTGTTTTGTTTTAACAGCAGGAGATGGACTAAGACCAAAACAAAAGAGGCAGGGGACAGAGCAGGGTCCTCCTCAGGGAAACCCAAGTAAATGGAAGTCAGAGGGGCAGAGCAACCCCTTCCGGAGCAGTGGGGTATTGCTCTCTGCCGGAGAAAAGGAGGAAGTGCTGGTAGGCAGCAGGCTGTGTGTGGGAGGCTGTGACAGCAAGGCAGGAAAGCCGTGCACACCTCGACAGCCAACTCACGGTGAGAAATTCGGTTGGTTGTGGCGGCAACAAAGGGAACCAAGGAATGCTGAGAAATGGAATAAGAACACCAGCCTGAGAATAAACAAGAAAGGTACGGGGGAAAGGAGGCTGGAAGCTCAATCTGTGGTAGAGAAAACAGAGTCTGCAGCCCCACCTGCTTGGGAGGCTGAGGCCAGGGAGATCACTAAGCCCAGGAGTTTGGGGCCAGCTTGAACAACACACCAAGATCCTGTCTCTTAAGAAAGAGAGGTACATGGTGGTGTGTGCCTATAATCCCAGCACTCTGGGAGGCTGAGGCAGGGGGATCTCAAGTTTAAGTCCAGACTGGGCAATTTAGCATCTTAGTGAGTCCCTGTCTGAAAAGGGGGCTGGGTATGCAGCTTAGTGTAAGTCCCTGGATTCTGTCCTGTGTACTGCAAAATAAGAGGAGGGGGAAGGGAGGGAGAAGGGGGGAGAGAGAGAGAGTGAGTCACGGGGTGCACCTCAGAATGAAAAGACACCCTTGGTATGGAATTGAAAAGACTGCCTTTGAATCTTGTCTCACACCAACCGGGGAGCAGAGCGTGGTGGAGGTTGTTCCATGCAAAGCTACAAAAAGTTACTTTCACCAAAGACTGGATTTATTGCCAAACATTTCAACTTAAAATAACCATAGTGTTATGGGCTGAATTGTGTCCCCCAAATGCATACACTGAAGCTCTAACTGCTAGTATCCCCCAAATGTGATTAGATGTGGTCATAATCCTTTAGGTTAAAAGGAGGCTGTCAGAGTGGAGCCAGTCTGACCGACACCCTTATAAGGAGAGATTCGCAGACACCAGGAAACACCAGGGAGGACACAGCAAGCAGCTGCTCATCTGCAGGCCAAGGAGAGGCCTCATGGAGTCACACCGCACACCATGTTCTGGGACTTGGGCCCCCTGAGCAGTGAGAAAATACATTTCTGTAGTTTAAACCAACAGCCTGCAGTGTTTTTTTATGGCAACCCTAGAAAAGTAATATACAGAGTCTAGAAAACAATTTGTCACCCAACTGCCAAACCAGCAAAGTCATCCATAGGCTTGTAAAGAAAAGAGAGACCTTTGACAAGTGACCATCCCCAGTGTTGATGAAGGGTTAATGACACAGTAAGATGACTGACCAGTCAGGCACCATGCAGTGGGAACTGTAAGAGAGCCTGGGACTTCAAGACAGATTTCCATTAGGTGAGATACTTCGAGAGGGTGGGGGAAGGAGGGAAGGACAGGAGCCCATTAAGGGTTTAATGAAACGCATAAAGGAAGCAACGACAGCAGATTAAAATACATTTCAGTGACTTGCTTCATTTATAAAAGGTTACAAAAACACTAAAAAGGCAATGCTACCTAATGCATTTTATGTATTCTGAGGCGGGGTCTTGCTCTGTTGCTCAGAATGGTCTTGAACTCCCGGGCTCAAGCGAGCCTCACATCTCAGCTTCCCAAGTGTCTGGGACACTGGTAGAGGCCACCACGGATAGCAACTGATTTATTACATGAGGAAACACGCTCTCGGTCCCTCAAATCGGATGAGCCCAGGACAGGAGAGCTGCAAGCAAGGCACAGCCTTCTGAGGGTGCCACAGCCCAGGAGCACCTGAGGCCAGGAGGGCAGACCAGGAGCCGGCAGGCTTGGCTGGCGTCTTGGCCTTGCTCCTGGCCAGCTTTGGGCCGATGTGCACACCATCTCACCTCCCACGCCTCAGTTTCCTCAGCCTGTGAAATGCTTGCAGTGCTCAGCAGTCAGCTATTTGGAAACACTGGTGTCGCCCCGGTCCGCGTGTACAGTGAGGCCATAGTAGCATTAACACGGAGTTTTGGTGGCTCGAGTCCCCACCTGCACAAAAATTCTACTTGCCTCAAAAGCGCTGCCCCCAGAGGTTTTTAATTTCTGGCTGCACAGTGTTCAGGGACAGGTGAGCAAATCTTTCTGCCCTGGTCTCCCTGGGACAGCCCCCCAGCCAGCTAGAGGCTTGCAGACATTGGCCAAGCCCCCTGGTCTTGCCCTGGTGCATTCGCCCCCGATGAAGACCTACCCACTGCTCAGCTCCCCTGCAGGACCCCCGCAGGTCTGTCATGGAGAGGGAGAAGCCCCCAAAGCCCCCTCGGTCTGCACCAGAGGCGCTTTGCTTTCTTCCCCGGGCCTCCTTGTGTACAGAGGACTTGGCCCCGACCAGCCCGTCAGACTGGGGCTGGGCTGGGCTTCTTCCTGGGCGCTGTACTTGCACCCTTCCTCCATCAGCAGGGCCTAGGGCCCAGGTGCGTCCTCTGCCCCTGGCTGTACCTGCACGTGCACGCCGGGGACCCCCATGCCTGGCTCCCACGGGGGCAGCCTAGCTCTCGCAGTGGAAGTGCTGGCTTAAAGGTCCCGATATGGTTTTGTCCCAGTCCATTCTCTGAGCTCGGCCCCATGGGCCTCAGAAGGTGGAGGATTTCAGAAGAGAGGAAGGTACGCGTGGCCCAAACGAGGCTTCAGTCCCCACTCTAGCAGGCGGGGGGCCGCAGCGCACCCCCAGCCAGTCAGGAGTGGCCCTTCTGGATGTAACGCAGGGATGACGTCAACTCAGTCAGGTCATGGCCCCCAGGTGTCTGTGGCACAAGTGGGAGCAAAGGTTTGCCTTTCCGAGTTCCTGGAGCTGGGAATTGCCTGGCTACCCCTGCTCTGGGGAGAGGCAGAGAGGTACGGGAAAGCCAGGGCGTTTATTCTGCACCACTGTGTGCCTGGTGCACATGAGCTCTCTGTCTGCCAGACCACTTGGTGGGTGGGTGGGGCGGGCCTGGGCCTCCTTCCAGGGAAGAGGTCAGCTCAGCCTGACCGGGAACAGAAAGGGGCCCCAGCTCCAGCGGCTAATGTGTTTACCGAAGGCTGAGCAGGTGGGAGTCCCATCTGCTAGGCCCTGGCAGCTGCCTCCCCAGGCCTGCAGCCGAGGGGAGAGGGGTCTGGAGAGGCTGGGTGGGGGCAGAGCCCCGCCACAGCCACCACCAGCCACCTATACCCTCCAGCGGAGGAACTTCCTTCTAGGGCTGGGCTTGGAGGGCTCAGCGGAGGCGTGGAGGCTGGGGCTGCCCTCGGTGTCCTGAGCTGAGAGGCCATTTCCTTTCTCCTCAGTGGCAACAGCACCTGCAGCCTCCTCTGGGCCAGACCCACACTGGCCCCAGGCAGGGGTTGACACGAAATCAAACCTGGATGTTTGCGCCCTGGGGAGCTCAGTCTCCCTGGGACAGCAGAGGCAGGCAGGGGCGCGACCTGTTCTGAGGCCACCCCCCACGGGACACCCTGGGACTCAGGTGTGCCAAGCACCCCCTCCCATCGCTAGGCCAAATACATGGGGCGCCCCCTGGGCACAGAAGGCCCGGGTGCTTGCAGATAGCGTCCCTTCCAAACCCCAGCATTGCCCCTGGGAGCCAGAGAAGCTGATGATTCCGGGAAAGACAGGCAGGCGCAGGGAAGGGGCTGGGCTGCAGATGGTTCACTCGACTGACGTCAGCACCGATCCTGGGCCGGCCCAACACCCCTCACAGGACGTCCACAGCAGCGGCTACCACCAGCCTGCGGCTGCAGAGCCCGGCCCCTTTCGCAGGAAACGCTAGTGCAGGGGAAGTGAACCTACAGCCTTCTCTCTACCTGGGAGCCGGCCCTGAAGGAGGGGCCTCTCCCCCTGCCCCAGATTACAAAGCAGGGTGCCGTTGAGTGTTGGGCACAACCACACGGGTCCCGGTACACGTGGCCCCGAGCCCCCTAACTCCCTGGCTGGGCCCCTCCCCTACAGTTCCGACTCTGAGGAGTCCTAAGGGCTTCAGCACAGGGTCCCCCACCGTGCCGTCCAGCCGTGACCTCGGGGTGCAGGGCAGGGCACTGTGGATCACCTGTTGGACGGTGGCCCAGAAGGTCTTGCTGACCAAGCAGCAGAGGCCGACATTGACCACTGTGTTGAGCATGGCCACCATGTTGGCCACGTCCAAGGCCAGGTGCACCCTCCAGTCCCGGTGCACGGGGGCCACGTACAGGTGGTAGAGGATGACAACGACCCGCGGGGCCCAGAGGAGGCTGAAGAGCGAGGTGACGCCCAGGAGGATGGCCGTGCTCTTGCCCACCGCAGGCCGCAGCCCGCTCCGGCCCCTCTTTCGGAGCCGGAAGATGATGGCTGAGTTGGCCGCCAGGAAGATGCCGAGGGGGCCGAAGTAGACGAGGAGGCAGTGCGCCCACTTGAGGGCCTCGTCCAGCGCACTGGGCGGGTCCGCGTCCCTCCACACATCCGGCCACCAGTAGAAGGGGACACCGGTCAGCAGCGCCGCGCTGAGCATGACAGCAATGGCCCGGCGGGTCTGGCCGGGGGACGAGGTGGCCCGGTGGTGCAGGGGGTGGCACAGGGCTTTGTAGCGGTCCACCGTGAGCAGGACGGCGACCCACACTGAGGCGTGGTTGGCAGCAAACTCCAGGACGTTGGCCGTGCGCACCACGGCCCGGGGGACCTGGCGGGCCAGCACGGCGCCCTGCAGGAGGAAGCCCACGAACACGATGACCACCTGGGTGACGATGTCCGAGGCTGTGAGCGCCAGAAGGTACTGGTAGGAGGGCTTCCTGGTCCTGGCGGCAAGGCGGGCCAGGGCCACAGTGGTCACCAGGTTGACTGAAGAAGGCCAGCAAGGTCACAGGGAGAGGTCAGAGGTCTTAGAAGGGGCCCCCAGAGCCTGCCCAGGAGGAAGCCCACGAACACGATGACCACCTGGGTGACGATGTCCGAGGCTGTGAGCGCCAGAAGGTACTGGTAGGAGGGCTTCCTGGTCCTGGCGGCAAGGCGGGCCAGGGCCACAGTGGTCACCAGGTTGACTGAAGAAGGCCAGCAAGGTCACAGGGAGAGGTCAGAGGTCTTAGAAGGGGCCCCCAGAGCCTGCCCACCAAGGTGTCCTACGGTCCCCCCCCGCCGGCCCGTGCTGGCATGGCTGGCTTCTTGTCTCCTCTGTCCGGCTCCTTCTGAAAACCCTCCTTGCTGGCTGGGGCGGCTCAGTGGTTCAGAGCCTGCCCGGCATGTAGGAGGCCCTGGGTTCCCTCCCCAGCACCACAAAACAAACAAAACCCCGCCAAAACAGCCCACTTTGCTGAGAAGGCTGAGCACATCGGTCTTGCCCTGTCCATCCAAACCCCCACCCTTGTCCACCTGTCCCCTCCAGGTGGCTGTCAGGTGCTCTGTGTCCTCGGGGCAGAGGCTTCCCTGAGCACAGGCCCTGGTTTATCTACAGACTTGGGGAGATTCCCAAGGCAGGCCCAGCCACCCCTTCCCTTTTTGTTGTTCTTTTGAGACAGGGTCTTGCTATGTAGCTCAGGCTGGTCTCAAACTTGAGGCAGTCCTCCTGCCTCAGCCTTCTGGGTGCTGGGATTACAGGTGTGTGCCGCAGCACTGGGGCTGGTCCCTCACTTTTACTCCTCTCTACTTTTCACTGCCCAGTGATCCAGAACACCCCATAGAGGCAAGAGGAGACCCCATCTGTGATCCTGGGCCTCAGGAGGGCCCTGACTTCCGGCCAAGCCTGAGACCCCAGACTGCGCCTCCCCACTCACCAGGCAGCCCCAGGCTCAGCAGGACGCTGTAGTAGATGACAGGGATGACCCCAGCCACACACGGTGACCTGGCTGGGATCTCTGGCCAGGGGCCTTCAAACTCCTCGCCCCGTGCACTTGCGTTGGGTGTGGGCAGCAGGATCACGGGTGGCCGGCCAGCTAGGAAGGGCAGAAGGACAGGGCTGGAGCAGTAGTCCTCTTTCCAGCTGGGCTCGGAGCAGCCCCAGCCTGACCCTGAGTCCTTCTGGTCAGCCCTGCTCCCAGCAGAGACCCCCAGAAGGGGCCCAGCCACATGGTGATCTCTGTCACAAGAAAATTCCAGATCCCCTGCCTGCGCGGCCCCGCCCCAAGTGCCGCAAGAAGCCCTTGGTGGCGGGGACTGCGCTGCTCCCTGGGCTCCTCATCCTCCTATGCCTTTAAGAAGGTGCCAGGCGACTCTGACCGCGGTGGCTCCCAGCAGCTGCCCGGCTCCACTCTGCGGCTGCAGCTCCCTCCTCTCAGGAATGGCTACTGGGTTCCCCTCTTCCTCAGCCAAGAGCATCCCTTCCCAGGGCAGCGCTGCTAAGGCTGGCATGGTCCTAGCTTCCTTTCGGATGGGGAAACTGAGTCCCCAGGGGTAGGGAGAGGCCATTCTGGGATGAGGGCTCTCCACCTGCTTTGCGTTCTGCTCCCCTCAAACTATACTTGAAGCCTGTTTAGGTTTTAACTTCTAGCTTCTGATTTCCTGATGCAGATGGGGCCCAGCCTCCAGCTAAATAACCCTCAGCGCCCCATCTCACGGCCCACTCGCTATCAGCTTCAAATCCCCCTCCCAGCCTCCAGGTCCCTGGCCTGTGTCCTGCACCCCGTTTCAGGGTACCGTACCTGTCTCCAGTCCCTCCAGCCCCATGCTCCCGGGTCCTCAGCCCCAGGTCACCAGGGCCTTTCCCGGGGGTCTCCACAGCCTCCTCCCGGCTCTCCAAGAGGTTGTTTGCCCCACGATTCTCCAGCCGCACTGAGCGTTAGTGCAGAGTGGGGGTGGGGAGGAGGGAGGAGAGGGTGGGGCGAAGGCTCCAGGGACTGAGGCTCCAGTGGGTCCCACCGGGACGAGGCAGGGAAGTTGGCGGGCTGAGTGGGGCTGCGATGGAGAAAGAGTGCGGCTGGGGCAGGGCTGAGGGCTGTCTGCAGGGGCAAGGGGGCGTGAAGGGCAGGAAGGCGGAATCCGGGTCCAGGGCACCTGCAGCCTGGCCCGCTCAGCAGGGGCGGCCGCACCCTGGGTGGGAGGACTCCGGGAGGGCAGGAGGGTTCAGGGAGCTGACTCTATGGGCACCGACACGCTGAAGGCCCTGGCTGGCTGTAAGGGAGGACGCTTCTGCCCAAGGGCTGGGCCAGTGGTGCCGTGTGGGAGAGGCGAGGCTGCCACTTTGGGACAAGGCTCAGATCCCTTGAGGTCCCGAGGGGTCAGGGTCAAGGGGTGGCACCCACCGAGGCCACGTGGGGTGAGAAGAGCCGGAGGCCACTCCGAGTGACCGCTGACCAGGAAGATGGCAGGAAGCCCTTGTGCAGTGGTGGGGTCACTGCCCCTCCCACCCAGGAAAAGCCTGGCCAGGCTGCTGTTTTCCTGGGCATGCTGAAATAGAGCATCCTTCAAGGACATCCGTCCCTGGCAAATACACAGCAGCCCGCAGGCTCTGCAGAGGCTGGAATCTATACCTAGCAGCGCCCTCACCCGGAGGAAGTGTGACCAGAGCAGCCCACCATGGGCACTGGGACACAGGCTCCCAGGAGACCACCTGGGTCAGAGCTGAGGCCCAGCCTGGAGCCGTGGGCACAGCCACCCCTGGGTATGTTGGGTGTTCCCTGGCCTAAATCAGAACGCGTGTCCGGGGATGGAGCCAACTCACCTTGACCCCAAACCCCACCTTGGCACTTGCTGCCCCCTGGTGGCCACACCCAGATCCTGCGAGTGTCTGAGCTTCCTGGGAAGCACAGTGGGTCCAGGGCAGGCGCTAGCGCCTCAGGTCAAGGCCCCATGGCAGATGGACCCCAGCCGGGAAAGCACAAGTAGCACAGACTCCCCAGGCTGCCACCTCCCTGTACCCTGAAGCCAGGAGTGAATTTGAGGCACAGCCCCCTTCTAGGGGAGGGAAAGACCACCTGTGCCTGCAGGGAAGCGAGGCTCCCTACCCTGTACCTACACTTGGCTTTGAGGGACGCGTATCTTACTGGAAAGCCGAGTACCCTCCAGACAGAGCACTTCGTCTTCAGCCAAGGCTCTCCTGGCCTGAGCAGAGCGCTGAGGCTTTGGGATCAGGAGTCAGTGGAAGGAGCATGATCAGCTCACCTCTGCCTGCAGCCTTCGGCCAGCCCTGTGGCTCTACCCATGGGCCCATCCTTGCGGAGCCCTGTTCTGGGGACGCGCAGGTGACCTGCAGGAATCCCAGTGGTGCCTTCAGAGGTGCTGCTTTCCTGCATGGCCTGTGAGGACCCCAGTGACCTGGCAAGGCTGAGACAAGAAGCGCTGTGCACAGGAGGTGCCTCTGAGGCCAGGATGGTGGTGCTGTCCTGTAGGGTGTGGGGTCCCTGAGATCCCCTGCACCCCATGGACAACCTTCTAATGCAGGCAGTAGGGTTAGGCTCTGTGATGTGAGAGCCAGGGTCTGAGCACGCACAGCTCACTCAACAGATGTCAGTACTGCCACAGAGTGGACAGGGAAGTGGCAGCAGCCCAATGGGCACAGGTGATGGCAGGGACAGGGCCGTCATCACTGGGCACAGACAGCCCGGCCAAGGATCCTTCTTGGTGGGGTGATTCCTTCCTGAGTGGTGCCAGTGTCAGCGGCCGGGGTGGGTCAGTGAGGCAGGCGTCTCTGAGCCAGCCTGGGGGAGCAAGAGATGTCACCAACAGCACCACAGGGCCAGACATGAGGGTCCCCTTTGATGCCAGCACTCGGGAGCCTGAGGGAGAAGGATCCCTGCAAGCTGGAGGCCTGGGCTACAGCCTGAATTACTCAGCAAGACTTGTCTCAAAAAACCAAACAATACCAGGGATTTAGCTCAGCGGTTCGGTGGCCTGCCTTGCAAGCTCAAAGACCCGAGTTCAATCCCTGGTACCAAAAAAAACCAAACAAACAATAGACCTGGGAATTAGGACTGCCAGCTGAAGCTAGTCCTGTGCGTGCGAGAGGGCACGAGCTTCCAGAAGACTGTGCTGCTGGGAGCCCACCAGCAGGGCCGCCTCTTGGTCCGCCACACCTATGGCTTCCACCAGAGCAGCGAGGAGGTTGGTGACTTTCTGGCACACGCGGACCTGCAGCGGTGCAACTCTGAGTACCTGGTGGAGAATGTGCTGCATCTGCACCTCATCCAGACCCCCAAGTAGATAGGGAAAAATGGCCTGGCTTAGCCAGTACCAAGGCCTGGGGAGGGTGAGGCAAGTGCAGAAGGGATTGCCAGCCTGGTCCCTGGGCAGCCAGGCATCGGCTGGTTGAGCCTAGGGTGGGTTCCAGATGAGTGGCGGTAGACCAGATGCCTGGGCTCTGGAGCTCATTCCACAGCCAACTCAAAGGCAACATTCCTGGTCCTGGGAAGAGAAGCTCTTGAGCAGCAATTGTCTTTGTTTTGTTTTTTTGGTACTGGGGATGGAACACAGTACCTTGCGCTTTTGAGGCAGGTGGCGGAACCACTGAGCTAAATCCCCAGGCTGTGAGCAGCACTTGTCAAAAGAACTATGGATCCCAGAGAACTCAAGCCTGGAGTTGTACATCTCCAGCCAAACCCTACAGTGAGGGAAACTCAAGAAATACGATAAAACATGTTTTTAGGAACTATAAACTGCCTCCGGGCGTGTGCAATCTGGCATTAGAAGAAAGCATGTGAACACAGCTAATGTTGCAATTAAGGGTGTTCTGAAGATAAGCTGGTACTTAGCAAAGATCATGAAGGGCCCTAAAGGCATTGGAACAAACTGCTTTCAAGTCACTAACATCCAAACACTCAAATATACCTCACTATGTACCTAGCAGTGCGTAAGGGAGGGAGACCTGTCACCCATATGAACAGGAAACACCTAACCTCCAACTTTCAACAGTGTATGCACACTACTCACGACACTTTCTAACAGGGAGGCAGGCAGGTCTCCTTTCCTTTTTGTTTAACTTAAACCTAATAAACCTCTATTTTAAAATTTTTTATTTGTACACGTTTGCAGTAATGTTTACATTCCTTGTGTGGTGTTAACATGTACATAATTCCTTTTTTAACCCATTCTTTCCATCTTTGATCCCATTTCCATTTAAGAAAGATTTTTTAGAGACCCTGTCTCAAAATGAAACAAACAAAAAACAAGGGCATGTGCATTTCATTATGGCGGTCTTTAACTCTTTTTGGGAAGGAGACCCAGAGGCGGAACAGGTGCGTTGAATGGAATTTCTAGTTTAAGAATTTCCATAGTTAAACATCTATTTAAAATTCCTTAAGGACTGGGTGTGGCGGTGCAAGCCTGTAATCCCAGCACTTGGGAGGCTGAGGCAGGAGGATCACTGTGAGTTCGAGACCAGCCTGGGCTACACAGTGAGTTCCAGGTCAGTCTCAACTACACAGTAAGACCCTGTCTCAAAAAACAAAAAACAAACAAATAAAATTCCTTCACATTTAAATCTATGTTTAATTACGTGAAATCTTCCAAAAGTACAAATCGGTATGGTTCTATTTTATCTTTATTCTCTGATTACACTGAAAAAAGTTCAGGACAAAACATTCCAATGTTAATAAAAATACTAGTATCAAATGTCAGATTTAGTTTTTAAATAAAACTCAAGGTGCCAGATCAAAGGTGGCTCTGTAGTGTCTGTTTAAACCTGCTGAGATAGATCCCAGATGGGTTCAGACAGCATTGGATTCTGCCCACAAATATTCATCTGTAAGTACAGTCATCTAAACACTAATTTTGAGATAATTCCACATTTAATGGATCAATCAGTATTGTCATTGAGACTTACACTGCTGTTTTCAGAAAGTGAACTACGACACACAGCCCGTGTATACTGACAGTATCCTCTTCAACCCCAGCACAATTATCAGTTCAGCAGAAAGATTAAGGCTGTGTCCACGTCCAGTATTTCTGCTGTCATCTACAAGCCTCACGTTACCAGCATCACTGTGATAGATTTCATGTCAGGTGCTAAGACCGAAATTGTTTTCACTGACTTATACTTATTCTCAGGACTGACTCTAGCGAAACTGGCTTTGTCTCTCAGATGCCACAGGTATAAACAATTAACAGGTCCCCCCCCCCACAAAAAAATCAAGTGACATGTTTTACCTTGATTTTACAAGAAAAAATTCACCAAGAGGTATGTGTTTTAAACTTTAAATATAGACCGATTGTGTAAATGAGACCTCAACTGAAAGGACAATTTAGCAGCTCAGATATAATGCTCACAAACTATACCAAGCCAGCTACTAAGTAAGAAACGATCTACGGAACTCCCACTTACCCTTTAGCCACAATGTCAATGATTATATTTTCTGAACCAAAATTCAAAACACATGGTTTGTATCAGCATTTCTGTGTTATTTCTGGGTATAATAGGTGACCTGAGTAATGTTTTATTCTGTGGTACTGAAGACTCATGTATGCTAGGCCAGGACTCTACCACTCAGCTGCTCATGACCGTCCTGCCTCAGCCTCCTGAGTAGCTGAGATTACAGGTGGGTGCCACCAAATGGGCTTTCTTTTGTAAGCTTTTACAAATACTTTGTAACCTCCAAGCATTTTAATGGCTTATGCCAAATTGACAAGATATTTAAAATCTGGAATAGCCTAGGAAATCTAGCGAATAAGGTGACCAAAATTACAGCAGTGCCACAGCTGAGGACTTACCCTGTAGTTACTATACTTTACAAGAAGGAATGATTTTTTTTCTCCTCTCTTCAATGATTTGCTTCAGAAAAGGGCAAAAGAGAGGGAGGAAGGAGGTCACACACCATTGCTTGAGGTCCCAGAGAAGTAATGTTACTACTCAAGTAGAAGAAAAAGGAGTCACAGTGCTACGTGATAAGAGATCCCTCAGGTGGATGAGTAATTCTAACCACACCAAACGCTGTTCCTGCAGGAGGCCTTCATGGAAGGGATTCTCGTGTTGGAAAATGCTGCTATGACAGGAGCAACACATCTACCAAGGAGGGAAGAGGGCTGAGAATATGTAAAACACATGCACTCACACTAAGTTTTCTATCGGTTTCTTCCCAGTCCCTTTCAGTCCTGCATTTGAGCCAGGCCCGTTGGAATGCGTGGCAGGTATTTTTCAGGAAATCTTAGAATGGTTCTGTCCCACCTGAAAAATACCTTTGCTGGAGCAAGGTGTAGTGGCCCATGGCTGTAACGACAGCACTTGGGAGGCTGAGGCAGGAGGATCACTGTGAGTTCGAGGTCAGCCTGGGCTACATAGCGAGACACTATCTCAACCCCACTTTCTCCAAGAACCTTTGTTTAAAAACACTTACACAGCCAATGCTTAGCAATTAAAATGTGAAAATAATTAAGTACTGAGAAAAAAAGTTTAAGTACTAACTAGTTAAATTCTGTTAATTATCAAGTCATGGCCTCCTAGGATTAGCAGCATTGCAAACAAATCATACTGCATTTCCTAAACTTTCTCAATGCTCAACAATTCTTTCAGTATTAATTGCACTTAAAACATATCCATTTTTTTCAATTAATCTATGAAATCTGTTCATTTTTTCTTCATTTATAAAAGAGAAAAAGGTGACTTTAGGGTTTGCTCTGTAGCTCTGTGCATCTGGCAGAGTCCATGCAGACTTGTGCATCAGGCAGGGGGCTGCACACAGCTGCTTCGTGGGGCAGATTACACTGGGGCTCCTGACGCTTCAGAGCTTGGACTGAAGGGGTTTCAGGTGTTTGTAGTAAGATTCGTGCACCTGCAGGGAAGGGAGAGGAAATACACGTGAGCAGCTTAACAGGTAAAAGAGTGTGCATGTTTCTGGGAGACCAGTTCTTGCTATGTGGTCCAGAATGGCCTTGAATTTGCAATCCTTCTGCATCAGCCTCCTAAGTGCTGGGATTACTATAGGTTGCAGATGTTTTTTTAAAAGTTTGTTATGGTTTAAATCTCAAATCTCCCCCAAAAGTCTCCTGTGTTTGGAGAGAGATTGGATTGTGGGGTGCTTATAACCACCAGAGGATCCATCCCAGATGGGTTTATTTTATTTTATTTTATTTTTGGGTTTTTTGAGACAGGGTCTCACTATGTAGTTGAGAATGACCTGGAACTCACTATGTAGCCCAGGCTGGTCTCGAACTCACAGCAATCCTCCTGCCTCAGCCTCCCGAGTGCTGGGATTACAGTAGGTGTGCGCCACCACACCCGGCTTTTCCAGATGGGTTTAATAGCTGAACATGCTGTTTGGAGGTGGGAGCTGGTTAGAAAAGGCAAGTCACGGGGGCGTGACTCGAAGGCTATATTCTGTCCCTAGCTCCTTTCTCTTGGCTGTGACTCGAGCATCTCTCCTCCACCTCTCTGCCCGGATGTACTGCCACACGGTGACCAGCAATGAAACGAACCCTCTAACACTAAGCCAGAATAAACTCCTCCCCTTTAAACTGCAGTTGGGTATTTTGGCCCAGTGATGGATAAGCTGACTAGTGAGGGTCGTTTGCAGAATTCAGTGGTAGATGCCTGTGATCCCAGTACTGGGGAGGATGAGGCAGAAGGAGTGCATATTTGAGCCCTGCCTGAGCAACAAAGTGAGACCCTGTCTCGAAAAAATTAAGGTTGCTTTTTTAAAGGACTGGAGATACAGCTCAGTACAAAGGCTCTGGGCTCAATCCATAGACGAAAAGGGGAGAAAAAAAAAAAAATCAAGGAAATTAAAATCCTGCTTACTGTAGAATGACCCAGGCTCCCTCCTGAACCTATTGCTCAAATTAAGTGGCCATAGAGCTTTTGGGGCATTTAAAGAAGAACTGCTTTCTAGGGGACTTTCCTGCCTCATATTTAAATGAAGAACTTCAGTGGGCTGGAGGAGTGACTACCATGTGTAGGGCCCTGGACTGGATGCCCAGCAGTGCAGAAGAGTAAATGAAGATCTTTAGAAGGTGAAATGAAGATCTTAAGAAGGTGGAAAGAGGCAGGAATTGTGATGCACACCTGTCATTCTAGCATGTGGGAGGCTGAGGGAGGAGGATCGCCAACAGCTCAAAATCAGCCTGGGCTACATAGTGAGCTCAAAATCAGCCTGAACTACATAACGAGATCAGATCCTATCTCAGAAATATATATATATATTTTTTTACCTCTGTTTTGTTTAGTGGGGATTTCTTGGCCCACTCAAACAAATTTTCATACACATTCCCATCGTAGCGGCCAAGAACAGAGCCAAGTGTCTCATCCTTAAAATCAAACGCATCAACCAAAGCAACAGCATTGGGGCGAATTACAGTGAGCAACTCCAATAAACGCTGGTTTACTTGAGTGATCTGAGATCCTGTCACAATATTTCCCTAAAAGAAATCAAAATAAATAAACAAAAATATGTACGTAGACAGGTATTAATACCCATAAAACTGTGAAATGGCAAATATTGTTCTTTAAAAGAGAATACTGACCTGAAGAAAATCTCCTGCCTTCTGACTGATTCCATACAGAGAATACAAGAAAAATAAATTCCTTAAAACGGCTTGCAAGGATTTTTCTTGTATTTTTAGTTTATCGGCAAAGAGCTTAACTACTACATAGTGGCAATGCGCCTAGACAAAAAGAACAGCAGTGAGGAACCCTGGGGACAGATCCAACACGACCAGTGGGAAGGGCAGGGGGAGAGAACCACCACTGACCTCAGATGCTCGAACGAGGTCAACAGAGGTTAGGTTCCACGCTTCCTCCCTGCTTTGCCTGTGACTTACTTCAGCCTGAAGGTTTTTAGCAGCAATATCTATTAATCTGTTGAGAAGTGAAGGAAAAGAGATCTGAGGAAATGATCCACAGTAGCCGCACCTCCTCTCATTTCCCCTGCCAGCCCCTGACCCACAGGCCCCCAGGGCGGCTGCTTCCAGCATGGCGGGCAAACTCGCCTGGCTGCGCGGAGCTTATATATCTCCGTCAGGCTGTCAGGGCTATTGATGTCCATCACGGTTGGCCAGACTGCCACCTGCTGTGGCTGGATGCGCTGACTGGGAAGGTCGTTTAAGTAAGACACCAAGCCACACACCAGCTTCCCTGATTGCACTTGGTCATAACTTTTCATCAGGAACCTGAAAATCACCAGGGACAGGCTTTTAGTAACCCTACTCCTGAAATGACTGTAGGCGATGTGATGGGTGTGTCACAAACTTCCTAGCCTGACCACAACATAAGATCAATGAGTCAGGGCAAAAGCAGAACTACGCATTTCAGGAACAAACGCACACATCCACACATCCACGTGGTGAGAAAGGCCTGAACCCAGAGGAGAAGCCACTCCAATGCTCACCTGGCTGTCTGTAGCATCATGACGGTGTTTTCTCCCTCAAAAGTGCAGGCCGGGGTGAAGGTGACATAAATATTTGGAATACCACTGCAATGAGAATAGCCATGCCCACCGCAAGCCAGCCGACACTCTTCGATCCCAGTGTTGGCAGTCCAGGTGGTGAACGCCTTAAGACCGGCAGTGAGGGCATGCAGCTGAGGGAAAAGCACAGGCCGTGAGGACAAGCGCAGAGCTCAGTGTCTGAGTCTCAGGGAGAAAACACACATCCTCTTCCCACGGCACCAGTCTTTCTCAGACTTGCTTGCTGCAGGTGTCAACTGCAGTATGCCCAACTGGCCTACATCAGCTACACACCCACACTCCCTGCTGAGCTGTTCTTGGTAAATACTCACTCCTTTTTATGTTCCTCTGACTGACATGCTTCTTGATATATTTATTTATTTATTTAATGGTGTTTTTGGAGGCAACTTCTCACTATGCAGGTCAGGCTGGCCTCAAACTCCCAGTGATCCTCCTGCCTCGGCCTGCTGAATGCTGGGATTACAGGCGTGCATCACCACACTTGGCTGGATATTTTTAAAAGTTCCGTACTTAAGACCCACATAGTTAAAAATCCTATCTTCACATCTGATCCACTTTCAATCAGAAAGCTGTAACACTATCCGATTGTTTTAAGGAAATCTTAGCATGTAGTTTCCTTTGAGCATTGCACATGCATGAAATGAAACAGAAGGGTGTCCCCAAGTAAAGGAGACCAAACACGTACCTCAGGCAGTTCACTCAGGTCCCCTTGGCCAATGCTGTCATTAATCCGATAATAGGTCTCCTTCATATAGCTGCCCACAAACTGGAAGGCATAGGCAGTAGCCAGGACTGGAAAGAGCTTATACTGCTGTGTTTGAAAATCCAAAACCTGTGGTTCTGGTTCACTAAATCATATAGAAAAAAAAAACCATTAATAAGTAAATGGTTACATAGAATTTGCTATGTGCCAGTTTCTAGTCTAAACCCTTTGAAATATTAACTTAATTAATCCTCAAAAAGACCCTGTTAGATAGCTACTATTTTCATTTTACAGAAGAGGAAACTAAGAAGATAAGAATCTGTCTGAGCCGGGTGTGGTGGTGCACACCTATAGTCCCAGCACTTGGGAGGCTGAGGCAGAAGGATCATGAGTTCTAGGCCCTCCAGGACTACACAGCAAAACCTTATCTTAAAAAAAAAATCTGTCTGAAGTCACACAGCTAATCAGTGCCAGATATTCAATTTAAATCTAGGTTCTTTTTTTCTGTAAGACCATAAGACCAAACTCTTACCTATAATCCTAGCACTCAGGAGGCTGAGGCAGGAGGACTGCAGAGAGTTTGAGGCCAGCCTGAACTATTTAGCAGACCCTCTCTTCAAAAAAAAAAAAAATCAAACTAAAGCTATTTATCCTCAGAAGAAGGCTATGTTAAACAGTAGCACACCACATACCTGAATAAAATGGTCTTTTGACCACAAGCTCAGATAAGACCCAATGTATAACTCTGTGTGAGTTGTGTTTGTGTACAGAGGGGGACTGAGGATTGAACACAAGGCTTTTACAATGAGCTGTATCTCCAGCCCCTTCTGTTATTTTAAAATTTTGAGGTAGTGTCTCATTAAGTCACCAACTTGCCCAGGTTGGGCTTAAATATTTGATCCTCCAGCCTTAGCCTAACAGAGTGCTGGGATTACAGTATAGATATGAGCTATTGTGTCAGGCCCTTTTTCTTTTTTTTTCTTGGTACCAGGGATCAAACTTCAGGACCTTGCACTTGTGAGGCAGGCAATGGAACCACTGAGCTAAATCCCCGGCCCTAGGCCCTTTTTCTTAGGTTAAAAATAGGCTGGCTCAGGCTGGGAATTTAGCTCAGTGGTTTGGCTGCCTGCCTCACAAGCACAAGGTCCTGAGTTCAATCCCAGGTACCAAAAACAAAGCAAAAACAAAAATAGGATGGCTATAGATGAGTGGTGTTGTGCTTCCCTGGCAGGCCTGGGAAGGGGGGTCAGGATGGTTATTCCTATCCTTCCTCTTAAACCAAGGAAGCCTAGATACTAAGTTGCAAGCCCCCTTCAGTGCCACCTAAGCTGATTTCGCACAGCCAGTGCATCTTCTCTACCCATGTTTGAAAATATGGGTATCGGAATGGGGTCAACACTAGCCTCCAGTACTGACCCACCTCAGCCCCTACCCTCACCCTGGCTTGATTTCAGACTGGCGCCTCACAGCGCTGTATCGGATGGCAATGGTGCACGCCTTGGAGAGAGACCGAGCTGCTTCTCCCACGAGGTAGGACCTTACGAACACCATGGTCCCGTAGGTCAGCTTGTTACTCACAGGTTTCACGTATGTGCCATCAGGGTTCACCTGGAAGAAGAACATGGCACTGGTGTTTCCTCCGTGAGCAAAGTGGCAGTTTAGCAGTCCCGCAGCGTGGTCCCTGGAGGACAGCATCAGCACGACCCAGCCAACTGTCTGACCCTGAATTTCAGGCCCTACTCTGACCCACTGAGTCAGAACCTCTGGGACAAAGCCTAGCGATCTGGTTTTTAATGACCCCCCCACCCAGGCAGTAAAAGTTGAAGAACCCAGGTTGAGCTGGGTCATATTTTTCACCCTGACAACTGCTTATGATTTTTTTTTTTTTTTTTTTTTGTACCAGATTTTTTTTTTTTTTTTTTGGTACCAGGGATTGAACTCAGGACCTCACGTTTTCAAGGCAGGTGGTGGCACCACTGAACTAAATCCCTGGCCCTTTACTATTGCAATCAAAGAAATCACAGAAGTAAAAACATGGTCACCTAAAAGCATTCATTGTTCCAGCCGCATGGTTATTCCAACTGCTGCAACCCCATGCTGGGCATCCCACTCCTGTTCTCTATCTAAATATACCTGGGCATACTTCATCAGCATGTTTTCTCTGGGGATACGATAGTTGTCCATTTTCAGGTAGCCATTATCCATCTCTTCATAACCAAATTTGGGACCAATGTCTCCCACAGTAATACCTAGCACAGATGGCAGTAAAGAGGAGATATTTATGCTCTTGAATTCCTGACCTTCCCTCCTAGTTAGTATAGTGCTTTTAAATTTTTGCAGAAGAAATGCTCAGTTTACTTTTTACCTCACCTGAGATGACAATCCTTACCTGGCAAGGGCTTGTGGGTCCCCATTTCACGAATAGGTACAATGAAGGCATGTAACCCATAGCACTTCCCCTGAGTGATGAGTTGGGCAAGAACTACTGCGTGATTTGAAGTTTTCCCAACTGCAACATCAAAGACAACAGGATAAAGAGGTGAGCAGATGTTTTTACATTTTTTATAGGTGGAAACAGAAGAGTAGACAAAAACATGTCGCTAGTGCAAGAGTGTGCTGGGAAAGGCTTTTCTGTGAAAGTCTTACTCTAGCTCCTAGAAACAAGTCACTTAAGAACATAGTTATTAAACTCTACTGAATTTTGGCAAAGCTATTTAAAAAGATAGCTGTAGTAGCCGGGCATGATGGCGCATGTCTGTAATGGTCTCAACTACATAGTGAGACCCTGTCTCAAAAAAAAAGATAGCTGTAGTATCTGTTCTAGTGCTTTCATAAAGAAAAATTGGGGGCAACAATAAGAATGCTAAAAAACAAAGCAATAAGAATGCTAACCTAGGGAGCTGGGTGTGGTAGTGAAAACCTGTAATCCCAGCACTAGGGAAGCTGAAGCAGGAGGATTGCAGTGAGTTCAAGGCTAGCCTGAACTACATGATGAGACCATCTCAAAAAAAAAAAAAAACTAAACAAAACCCCAAACCAAAACCAATTAAAAAAACCCACTAATTTACTTTCTTTTTGTCCCTTAAGGCAGTATGGTCCAAACCACAGCCAATATATACATGTGGTACTTACATTTAAATTGTGACTAGTATTGTGAATGGTTCAGTTCTCCAGTCAACAAGCAATATTTCACCTACCTAACAGCTACATATGACTAGGGTCTACCACACAGTAAAGGAAAAATAGAAAATATTCCATCACTGCAACAAGTTCTACAGGATAGGGTGGTGTCTTGGTTAGTACATCCAAAATCACTTATCTTTTCTGCATGCCAGTTTTTTTTTGTTTTTTTGTTTTTTTGTTTTTTTGAGACAGGGTTTCACTATGTAGTTGAGACTGACCTTGGAATTCACTATGTAGTCCAGGATGGTCTCGAACTCACAGCAATCCTCCTGCCTCAGCCTCCCGAGTACTGGGATTACAGGTGTGCAGCACCACACCAGGCCTTTGCCCTTTGCCAGTTTTTTCTTATCAAAATGTCATGTGGCACAATAAAAATATATAAAATAATTATTAACTCCATCTGAAATATACAGCCTATGATGACAACTTGAAGCTTGCATGTCAAAGCTATTTAGAATCAGAATTTGAAAACAATTCAAATGTTTGGCAAGGTGGAAATGACAAATAGGAACTACTGTTATTTTAAATGAAGACTATGGAAGCGATGGTAATATCTGGTGAAAATCTGAGAAAAGCAGCATAAGATAGCCACCCTTTCTGTGTTCTGTAAGGTAAATATATATATATATCTGCATAGATGTGATATACAACGTCTATCGTAAGAGGAGGTGAAATAGCTTAGAATAGTTCAAGACTTCAGCATTTCTATTTCAGAATGGCATACTCCACATGTATACACAATCTCTTATGTGTGAAACATCTAACACCAAGAAATGTTAAAAAAAAAAAAAATCCACTTACGCCCCCCAGGCCACCACTTAATGGAGGTCACCGTAGGACTGTTCATAATGAACTCTTGGGTTCTGGGATCATATGTGGCAGTGGTTTCCAGGCCTCGAAGATGAGTTCCTAAGAAAATAAATTACATTTATCTCAGATAAAACATGGGGAAAAATATATGTACAAAATAAAAATGTCCTGCCCAGTCCTTTAAACTCTAGTAACTCTGAGAAAAACAAAATCTAACAATTCATTGGTGAATGAGCTGTGAATGGCTGGCAATCGAGACACTGAATTTTCTAAAGTATTAAATAGTTTTTTTCTAAAGTATCAAATAGTTTTTTTCTAAAGTATCAAATAGTTTTCCATTAGGCTGAAAATATGTATGATACACATTCTATAACTACATCTGATTTGTGGATTTATAACATTTATTTAAATCAAAAGAAAATGTAAAGGCAGTCTAGAATCCTATTTTCCTAAAATCACCATGTATCATAATCCAACAGGGAAGTTTACTGTCCTTTTATGCCCAGATTGTCTCTAAATTTCAAGCGTTTTCAATTTCAAAGCCCAGAGACTATATTTACCACACCTATTCAACACCCTAGAGTTCTGCACTCCTGAGAGTAAGATAATGTGCAGGACGAGACTTTAGTTAAAACTTCTGTAAATGAGAATTTACTTCAGAATGATTGCTAGAATGGAATATTAGAACTTATTAGGGAAATGACCTGGAAGCGTAACTTTTTATAGTTCTTCTCAAGATTTCTCCCCCACAGATTTCTAATGCGAGGCCCTTAGACCCAGCTGGCTCATGACTGTGATGGGGAAGAATTCCCAGTTTCATGGGTTCACTGGAGATGGAAGGGGACTTTTGTTTTAAATCCTTATATAAATATGCCAAAATTCCTTGGACTTAAAAGTGATCTCAGTGGCACTCTCTAATAATATTATACTGAAGCAAATGATGCTGAAGACCTTTCACCAAAACTATTTAGGATAATGCCAGACCTCACTGAACACTTCAAACTTTGAAACATTTAGAAACTTTTAAGTTGAGTGACAGAAATGGCCAGTTCATGTGCAATCTACAACCTTCCCCTCAGTAGGAATAAAAGAACCCCAGACACTTAGATCCTTTTCACCAAAGAGATTTTTATAGAAAAAGATAAAACATCCAACAGAACAGATTAAGGGCAAAGTGTTTTCAAATGCACAATCGAACTCATTGGCATTTCACTTTGAGTCCTGTGAAAATCCCATAAAATACTACTCAGCATGGAATAAGCAGCAGTTGTACAGAACTGAGGAGCAAGTGGCAAAACAAATATACACTAGATTTTCTGAAACCTCAGAGCAGGAAAAGAAAAAAAAAGGAGGCAGAAGTAAATGAATGGCAAATTGAGAGATACCAACTTGGGAACCAAGGACTAAGAGCAACAGCTACCACTGCCAACCGCTTATGGTCAGGAAGAAAGCAGATGTTAAGCAGCAGGAAAAATGAAAGGTGCTGGATACACAGACTTTGAGGCCAATCTTAATTTTTCTAACCTCTGGCCGACGCACCTTCAGAAATTCTCTAGGGTACTGGGTACAGCTCAACTATTACAGTGCTTGCCTAGCGTGCAAGAGGCTCTGGGTTCAATCCCCAACATGATAAAAAAAAATTTTTTTAATTTAGTAAGAGAAACATGAATTTACTCAATCAGGATACAAACAGGCACAAGATACTACACACTGTGATTATAATATGCTGTTTGTCTTAAGCAAGTCAGAGCATCAAGAGTAATCAGGCATGAAGAAAATAGATGGATCCCATTCTATGGGTACAGATGGCGTACAACTCGTGTGAATGCAAATACTCATTTGGTATATGTGGCTTGACTTGTTATTCTTGACCTTCTGAAGGAGAACCATGAAAAAATAATTGGCAAATCACTGTGATAACATAACCGTGAGTTTCCAATGACCAAAGCAACGCCTATGCTCCCAGCTCATTTACACAGCATGCTGACGTGCCCACTAGCACTCGGTGAGCACTCCATACCTGCCCAGCTGGCAGGGGCCCGCCCCACCTAGAAGGTAGACTGAACGCACTGTACCATGACCCATCTCTGTCTGGGCATAAGTGCCAATGATCTCCAAATTCCAGGCGGGCATGAAGAAGCGCTCCTGCTGCTCTGCGGTGGCCTGGTGAAGCAAAGTGGGCAGGAACATGCCCAAATGAAGATCCAAAGGCTCAGGCCGCCCTCTGTGCACAAAACTTCGAAGAAATATCAAGGACGGGCATGTAAGAGAAGCATCATCAGGTGTGAGAAAATCAGCAATTTGAACAGATAGAGCAAAGGGAAGGAGAAAAAAAACCTGTTAGTATGACTTAGTCGTGTGTACCGCATCATGGATGGAGCACTGCCCCTTTCTGTATTACTTTATAACTCTCAGCAATTTCCAGCTTTCTCGTGTTGGAGGGTGGAGAGCAGGGACCAGCTGCCAATCCCAAAGCCGATGCAGCCAAAGACTGCACAAGTAAGGCAGGGCTCCTGCCTGGCAATTAAATAACAGGAAATGAAAAATTCAAAAAGACTGTGTAGAAGAGAATTTAAGTGGAACAAGCATTTATGGGGAGGAGAAGGAGAACACGGCAGTTCTCTCAGGGTGACAGTATGATTCCTTAGATTAAGGATTATCCTAGAGGCACTTATGCAATGCTTCTAGGTGGGGATATTTTTTGTTGTCCACAAAACAATCATCACAGATCTATACAGATACATATTCCTCATGTAACTGATCACTTCTTTCAGATGCACCATGTAAAATATTCAGCCATGCAATACTGAAACAAATTAATACAGAAATTGACAGTGCTCTTCATCCTAGTAATTTCAGAAATTAAGACATATCTCTAGTGAAGATCATAAATACAAATCATATTCATGCATAAGCTGTTATAAATACATAAGCAGCACTAATGATAATGTCATCTCAGTTTTTTTTGTTTCATCTTATTTTTTATTGTTTCTTGGTAATATATATACACACACACACACATATATATAATGGTCACACTAGTCATAGGGGGTTATTTATTTTTTGACATGGGGTCTCACCATGTAGCCCAGGCTGACCTTCAACAGCTGCAATTACAGGTATGCACCACCTTGTCTGGTTGTTCTGCTCTTAAATGTACTTTCTGGTGCATGCGCGCGTGTGCGTGTGTGTGTGTGTGTGACTGCAAATCAAACCCAGGACCTTCACACTGAGCTACTTCCTCGGCTTTTTCGAGGCATGTTGTCACTAAGTCACTAGGTTGCCAAAACTGGGCTGCAACTTGCAGTCCTCTTGTCTCAGTCTTTCAGAGTGCTAGGATTACAAGCATTCTCTATCAGTCCAGTCTTTTGTAGTTTTTGTTTCCAGACTTGATGAACTGCCCTAGCTGGCCACAAACTCGAGATCCTCTTGCCTCTGCCTTCTAAATAACTAGGATTATAGGTGTGTATTGCTGTACCTAGCCTGAATCCTTCATTTTACAAAGAAATTACAGGTGAGATGGCATAAGTGACTTTGTAATAAAGTGATAAAGGCAAAACAAGGGCAAAATCTCATCATTTAATCCTACGTCTAAATTATTGTTCAAGTGCAGCACAGGCTAAGGACATGCCAAAAATCCAGAGCTGTCTAGGAAGCATTAAAAGTATATAGCTTTTCTTTTTTTGTTTTTGAGACAGGGTCTCGCTACATAGATCAGGTTGAACTTGAACTCATCAGGCAGCCGAGACTGGCCTTGAATTCATGGCAATCATCCTGCCTCAGCCTCCTGAGATTACAGGTGAGTGCCACCACACCTGGCAAAAGTGCATATCCTGAAGATGGTTCCACTGGTGGAAACCAGGTGAAGGGTTCACAGTACCTCTTGGTACTATTTTTGCAAATTTCTAGAAATCTAAAATCATTTTAAAATTAAAATTTGTGTGCTGTGGAGTAATAATGAGCACTGAGGGTCACCACAAAATATACTTGGCAGGACAGAGTAAAGCTACTCCAATCAGAAACAAGTTTTGAGATTGAAGAGTGTTTTGGGGAGAAAAATGTCTGTTGTGACCAAGATTAGGATTATTCAAGAGTGGATAAAATTTAGAAATGTTACAAGCAGGTGACAGCTCTTTACTTAAGCTAAGTATTTGTTATAAAAAGTTGAATATGCATAACTACATATTACTTTTATTGTAAAATTACCAACATACCTGGCAAAGCACTATAGTCAGTTTCTTTTTAAACCCAACATCAAAAGGCTTCCCCAGTCTATCCTTCTACAAGCTACACTGCTGGAAAGATTAGCAATCAATACCAAAGGAAAATGATTAAATAATACATCAGAAAAGAAAATATAAAAATAGCATCTTTGTAAACTGCATGATGAGAATCCTAGGAAATCAACAACAAAACACCAGCAATAATAAATTAACCGAGAAAAGCTGCAGGCTATGAGAAAAAAATCAATTGAATTCCCATCTATTATAAGTGTCATTAATGTGGAAATCCCAGGAAAGAGAAAGAGGATTTATAAAAGTAACACAAAATATTTGCAATGTGTTAATCAATTCAGCTCAGGATATTAAAGATTTAAGAAAAATATAAATAGTTTTGTTTGTTTGGGTACCAGGGATTGAACTTGGGCCCTTGCGCTTGCAAGGCAGGCGGTGGAATTACTGAGCCAAATTCCCAGCCCTAAATACTTTATATAGGATGAATAAAAGATGTGAATAACAGGAAAGAAACACTTAACCCCTCACTGAGAACACTAAATAAAGGTAACACACACCTGTAATCCTAGCACGGAAGGAGACAGAGGCAGGAGGTTTGCAAGTTCAGCAAGACTGAGGCAACTTAGCAAGACCCTGTCTCAAAATCAGAAAGGGCTGTGGATGTGGCTGTGTGGTAGAGTGCCCTGGGTGCAACACACAGTACTGCGCGCAGTAAGTAAAACAAAACAAGACAACGCTTTCCAAGAGAAAAAGAGCCCCTGTTGCTTTTGCTGTCTTTCACCACCATGAACTCTGCCATGTGCCACCCTGCCTTGGAGCCAGCCAATTACAGACTGAAACCTCCATAAACTATAAGCTAAATAAACCTTTTCCCATAAAAGAAGGAGAAGGAAAAGGAGAAGGAGAAGGAAGAAAAGGCTTTAATACAACACTGATTTTATTCCTGTAGTTTCTGGAACTTGACAAACTGAGATCAGAATTCATTTACAAAAGTAGGCAAGAATTCCAAACACATGAAACCAATATAATAGTAGGTTTATCTTATCAGACCTAAAACTATATTGAACAGGAAAAGAGTCAATCTAGAAAACTGTATGAGAGTTATTCTTATTCTCATTCCATTGCATACTTAAGTCAAGGGATTAAACATGTAACAAATAATAGAAGAAAACAAAAAAATTATCCAAGTTCTAAGAGGAAGAAAATTTATACCTACTTAATAAATAATGCTTAATACATAATGCTACAATGTTTAACAAAATGAAAAGTATTTAAATGAATATCTTATGATATAAGGCCAAATCCTATCAATTATATTTAATCAGTACTCAAAGGAGAAAAGCTCATTTATACATAGAAAATGCAAACAGTAAATCAAAACATGTGATAAACATCCAGGCTTACAAACAATGGAAAATTAAAAGCCTAACTCTCATGTATGTAACCCTAACTCTTTTAGGTATCTTTTTTTTTTTTTGGTACCAGGAATAGAACTCAGGACCTTGCACGTGTGAGGCAGGTATGGCACCACTGAGGTAAATCCCCGGCCCACTTAGGTATCTATTAAAGTGGCAAAATAAAAAGCGATCATGTTGATGGGGCTATGGAGACACAGGTACATTGAGAATTTGCTAGGATAGTTTATAAAATAATTCGTTTTAGGAAAAACTTTATGGAAAACATACTCCTGCACAGTATAAAATGGTCATCCCCTTCAATGCAATAATTCACTTCTGAGAAAGCTATTTCAAACATATAACCCCCATATATATTTGGAGGGGTGGGTACTGACGCTCAAACTCAAGACCTACTGCATGCTAGGCAAGTGCTCTACCACTGAGCAACACCTCCAGGCCAAGAATACAGTTCTCATAAAGAAGCTTTTATTATTATCAATGATGGTGAGAAAAAGGCATAAACTCAATGTCAAGGGGCAAGTCTGGTGGGAAGACAATCACTTGGGAAAAAGAGAACAGGGCTATTTAACATAGGAAGAAAGGACAATGACAGGCCAGGAAGAGAAAAATGAGTGACTTAACAAAATTGAGTTCACTACCTATCCATTTCACAACTTTCAAAGACAGAAAGCTGCTTTGTTTCATATAAGTATCAGTGATGGGAATTTGCAAAGATACTGCATCATATGCTAGGAGTTATGATAACAGAAGACCAGTCAAGAAGAATCCCTACCAAGAGGCCAGATCGTGAAATGTTCAATACCTATGAAAAAGCACACATACTTCTGCTTTGTAACCTAGAGAAATTTGTGGTCAGGATGGTCAATTTTTGTGGTCAACTTCCAGAGTCTTGCTCCTCAACCCAAGTCCCAGGAAGGAGTGTCTCCTTGCACCCACAGAGCAGGTGTCGGGTGTCTTGGAGTATTTAGAGAAGGGAATCCATGCTCTAGAGGGAAGAGATGAAGCCAGTAAGTGGGACCTTCTGCAGGGGACTGAACTGTCATGCCCTGATGCGGAAGGACTTCTTGCCTGTTCTTTATAAGGAGTACTGTCACATGATACAAATTAATCACCTGACTGGCTCAGGATATCTCACATCTTATGTCTTCTATAAAGGCTGCGTGACTAGTCAAATAAATTCTACAATGATAAATACTAAAACAAAATAAGGGCTCTGTACCACAAAACCGGTTTAAGATTCTAAAATACACTTGCATGCATGGACTCCCCCGATCCACACAATATGTGCACATTCTAAGAGAGGAAGACTGTATTAAAAAATGCTATCTTTCTTCCCTTAGGAAACCAGGCTTCTAGTTTTAGTACTGGCAACCTGACATGGAAGCCCTGGGTGTTTGTAATGTTAAGATAAATAGAACCTGCAGTCCCCAAGGAGATTATAACAAAGATTAAACCAATTAATAAATCAAAAATTATCCAAGGAAACCCAAAACAACATTTTTCTGATTCTTGCAACCTTTCCTTTCTTTTCTTTACTCCTTCCACTTTGACAGATTTAAGGGCAAGCAGCTCAAATTCAAAGAAAACCTGCCAATGGCCTTGTCTATGGAAAAGCAAATAAACAAACAAACACACAAATGAAACCTACTCACATTAAGACAAGCAAAACTTGCTGAAACACAGGCTGGCATTTGGAATTTATCCAAGAACTTTTGGCAATACAGAGCACACAAATGTGTGGAAAAAATGTATGAAAAGATCAGAGTCAGAGGAAGACAAACATGGGATTTGAAGAGTTTGACATTCATTCACTTGCCATCACAGTCTTCACTGAAATCCACCCCTTTAACTTCAATAAAGCACAAAGGCGTTTCCAGAGATTGCTAGGTATTAACCCTCTGAAAATTTCCAACAAGGTCTTTAATAATTAGAACAACAGAATGGGGCACTCTGACACCTTTAAACCCCATCTTCCCAAACTGCTCAGCACCTGTTAAAAGAATTAACAGTGAAGGACATTTACAGGCCACTGCCCCAGACCAATTTATGGGGATATGACCCAGAAGAAAAAGAGAAGCTGAATTTTGATGTAACAATTTAAAAACAAAATCCCAAACATGTAGCGGCAGGAAAAAAAATTAAAAATCAAATGGCAGGAGTTGCTTTTGCCTGAAGTCCTGAGGTGGGTTACCCACAGACCCTCAGATGTGGACTAACCGTGGCCCATTTCCGTCTGGGCGTAGGTGCCAATTATCTGAAGTCCTTTGGATGGGTGCAGCCATTTCTCTTGTTGAGCAGTGGTGCCCTGATTCACCAAGGTGGGAATAAACATGGAGTAATTGAGGCCCACAGGTTCCACAAAATTGACCAAATGTAGTCTACAGGAGAGAAAAGAAAAGGATCTCAGCCTTACTCTAGAAACTGCATCCTATCCCCTGCTGCTGCCAAACAGCACTCGGGAAGAAGGTTAGGAAAACTGAAATCCCTTTCTTATGAAAACCATTTACCACCTAAAAGCCAGCAGTAGGACTTGGTAGCATCTCCTCTCTCTCTAAACATTCTCAGGCCAGAATTTCTTTTTATTTTTTCTGGTGCTGGAGACTGAACCAAGGCCTCACACATGTTATACATGAGCTCTACCAATTCCTTCTAAAAATTCTACACTCAAGGCTGGGTGCGTGTGAGATCCCAGGCTGAGGCAGTAGGACTGCCACAAGTTTGAGGCCAGCCTGAACTAAATAGTGAAACCTTGTCTCAAGAAAAAAAGAGAAAGAAAAGAATTAAAAATTCTATACTCTAAAGCAACTTATTTTATTGATGTTACTTGTTTTACTGGCTGGACATTTTTGTTTACTCATTTATTTGGTGGTACTGGGGATTCAATCTAGGGCCTCAAGCATGCTGACCCTGTGCTCTACCCATTCAGCTACCCCCTACTCCCAAAGAACCAGCTTTAAAAACCTATAAAAGAAGGGGCCGAGGATTTAGCTCAGTGGCACTGCACCTGCTTTGCAAGTGCAAGGTCCTGAGTTTGATCCCCAGTACTGCAAAAAATAAAATAAAAACTTAAAAAAGATAACAAAAAACATGACTGATTCTAATTAGAATTTCAAAGTACTCATAAGAACATTTTAGTTTTCATGCCAAACAGTATAATTACTCACTCTTCTAAGGCCTGGAAAGAATAGTTCTTTTATTATTCAATTTAAGAACTTTAAAAGTATTTTACTAATGTTAAATTCACTTCAAAATGGGTTTATTAAGTATTATTTTGTTACAGTTGAAATGGATGTAAAAGATAATAGTAACTGTTTCAAATCCTCAGAAATATTACTGTTTCAAGTCTCCTTCCTACTTTTAAGAAATTCAATCCATCTCTTAGTAGTAAATAAAACACTGATGTGAGTTATAATCAATGAGTTTATAATATCAATGGGATTACATGCTGGAGGCTGATTTGATGACTTGCAGTACTTGCAAAGATGAATTTTCAGTCTCCTCTAATTTAATGGGTCTCCCTATCACATCCAGGGGCATTGGAATGGTGTCAAAGGGTGTATTAAATTTTGTACTTTAATAGTTCAAGTAAAAAAAATTTTTTTCAAGTGAAAAATGATACACAAAACAACTGGCTGGCAAGACCCGGTAGCGCATACGTGTAATTCCAGCACTCCCAGCACCTGGGAGGTGGGGCAGGATATTGAGTTGGAGGCCTGTCTGAGCTACATAGTGAGTTCAAGGCCAGCTTGGCCTACACTGCAAGCTGCTATCTCAAAACAAACAAACAAACAACAGCAACAACAAAAAACCCCTAAGTGGCTGAGGTCTAGGTATCTTTACAGATCAAATCACTTTTTACTTTTTTATTTTTGGTACTGGGGATCGAACTCAGGCCCTCACACTTGCCAGGCTGGCACTGTGCTGTTAAACTAAATACTCAGCCATGGATCTTTAGCTTACATAATGGGCTCTGTTCTAGTTCACTGTGATTTCACTGAAGTCTGGTTACACACTGAGGTACCACAGGTTATGAAATCGCCTGAACTAACTTGGAAATAAGCTGCCTCACCCATCTAAAAAAACAAAAACCAGCCTCTCTCTTCTTTGACTTCATTTTAAGGAGATATAAAATCTTACTAATTTTTATAAGTTTACAAACCCAACTCAGGTCATTTGGTAACATAAACGTTAAAGGATTTACTCTATCAATATCTCCATTCATAGTTGCAAACTTCAGGGGAAAAAATGAACACTGGAAATTGTTGAGTACTCTGATTTGGGCCTCTAAAAAGAAATAATTATTTTCTATAACTGAAGTGAATGGAGGTCAGAGGAAAGCTCTAAGGTCAGAGCAAAACATTTCACTTTTGCAGTAATAACCAAGTCAAGGTGAAAACAAAACAACTAGATACAGCAGAGGCAGTAGTATACAGGAGGAATAACCATTAATACACAGAAGCAGAACTTCTAACCAGTTTCGTTTATCTTGACTCTTCAAAGTATACCATTCATAAAATTTAAACTTTTTCTTTTTTGTAGTGCTTGGGAATGAATCCCCAGCCTTGTGCTTGCTAGGCAAGCACTTCACAATGAGCCACACAACCCTGCCCAAAATTTTATCTTTACTGATGAAAACATAGGAGTTCCTCTAAAATGTAGAAACCTGCAAGAGGAAATGTCCAGGAATAAATGAGAAGTATTAAGAGAAAAAAAGTGTAAGAGATACTATGGGCCCCCAAAAAGCTTCAACTAGTGTATGCTTGTTTAGGCTAAGGCAAAAAAAAAACAAACAAACAAAAAAAAAACCTAAAGGAAAAGAAAAAAGACTGTTTCTCTAATAAAAACCAAAGCAGAACAACAAAAATGAGTGGTCTGTAAAAAACCACATAGAATTAGGACCAAGACAAGTTTTTATGCCTAATACAAACACTTAATGAGTTATTACATTCAGGGCCAGGGGATTTAGCTCAGAGGCACTGTGCCTGCCTAGCAAGTGCAAGGTCTTGATTTTGATTCCCAATACTAAAAAACAAAAACAAGAAAATAAACAGTCAATGCATTCAACAAAGCTGGGTTCTCAGCATACGTTCTATTTCTTTTTAAGTTTGATGTTCTATTTTATCCATCCTCATTACTTTTTTAAACTCAAAACCCACAGTTACATGAAAGTATATCTATTGTCCCAAAATATTTAAATGTTTTGTCTTACAACTGGAAAATATCCTTCCAAAATTAGAAATTTACCCAGTCTCCCTTTTACAAAAAGCAAATTCATTTTTCATTTATTTGTTTTTGTTTCTATGTAGTTGAGACTGACCTGGAACTCACTATGTAGCCCAGGCTGGTCTTGAACTCTCCTGCCTCAGCCTCCCCAGTGCTGGGATTACAGGCGTGCGCCACCACGCCCGGCTCATTTTTCATTTAAAATTGTGATGCTGAGGAAAATATTTTAAGTAACGTCCTTGAGACTGAGTTTTTGAGAATGAATACTCCAGCAGCTCCATTTATAATCCGTACTCTACAAATACATCATCCCACTTAAAAGGCTTAGATACAGAAGTAATTGCATTATGTTCCACACTATAAAACTTCAAAGTGGTGCACCTGTTGTAATCCCAGCCCTTGGAAGGCTGAAGCAGGAGGATTGTGAGTTTAAGGCCAGCCCGAACTACATACAGACTCTGTCTCAAAACGCCAAAAACAAAACAAAACAAACAAAAGCCAAACTTTACAGTGGCATGAAAATATGACGTTTTGGACCTTCAAACACCAAGAAAGAACACAAAAGGTCTCCATACATTGCAGATGCAAAATATGGGCTTAGAGTACTTGTGTTAAGGTGTACCTACTTTTTGAACCACATGATTTCATCAGGGTCTGCGATGCCAAACTCCCTCATTTTCTTCACCATGCTAGCACTCTTCCTGACAGCCACCTCATAACGCTCGCTGCGAGTGAGGAAGTTATAATCCTCGTGCTGGAAGTCTGGGTCGTTGAGAATCATGTTTTCTGAAAGGAAGTTAAAGGACATTAAGAGGAAGACACCCTCCCTGGATCACTGCAGGTTTAACCAAGGGCACATCTCGGGAGGGCGATACCCCACCCACATCTGCCACCGGCTGCCCCTCGAAGTGGGGGTCTTCGCTCCTCTAACACTGGGCGAAAGGATGCGGCCTTAAGTCTCACGGAGACCCCAACTCCTCATCGAGGGGACCTCAAGCCTTCTCTCCTCTCGGGAAGGAGAGAAACAGCGATCGCCGCTCTCACCGATCTCTCGGCGGCGCCGGGTCTTCTCAGGGCAGCCGTCCAGAAGGTGTGTGATCAGCTCCGGGTCGAACGTGGCGGCGGCCCGCTCCCTACGCAGGTCAGGATTCATGGTGTCGGCTTGGGTCTGTGGCGGCGACGGAGGAGACAGCGGTGACACAGCGAGTCCGCAGCTCCGGCGCGAGCCGGGACGTAAGAGCTGTCCCAGGACGG